AGTTAGAAAAAAGAATGAAATTCAAGGTGCTATCAAATATATTTTTCTAAGAATTAAGCTAAAATTACAAGAAAACATTCCAAAAATATTGAAAAATTATGAACAATCAATTTCAATGTTTGAGACTGTTAAAAACAACCAATTTCTTACAACCTTACAATGAGGATTCAATTGAGCTTAAAGTTGCAAATAAATTTTGTAAAGAGCAACCGGTTCAACCTATTGTGGAAGACTTTCAATTGTGTTAAACAGTTATTTACGGTGATTTTGACTAATGAGAAATGGATTGATATAAACAAACTATATATTCAAATATATATATATTATGCGATGTAAGCATGATAACACAACGTGGTTAATTCAATTTACTGGATAATTGATGACAAATTGATAGTTTTGGACAAAAAGTGATAGTGAAACTTGGTGGGATGTTTGACCTTCCTATCTTTATGTGTGAAACAATAATGAAGGGGGAAATGTTGTTGGAATGCACAATAGCATTGACCAACTTGAAGTTCTTCATGCGGTGCATTTTGTGCAGAAAAAAAAAACAAAAAAAAAAAAAAAACTCATTTATGGTCTATCACTTCTCCAAAAGGCAAAAGCTTTAGCCGATCAAAACGACCAAATATTGTATAATGTTTGTTTAACTAATTCTTCAAAACTTCTAAAAAAAAAACGTAATTCTTCAAAAAAAAAAAAAAATACTACAACTATAGAGACTAGGAGGTGAGCTTCTTATTGCCCACAATTACAATAATGTCCGCACAGGAAAAACGACTAAAAAAAAAAAGAAGAAAAGGTCGGAGAAATTTGACATCTCAAACAAATTAGTGGCCAACACCAGCTTGTAAATTTAAACTTTGCCTTGTACGGTAGAGAGAAAATTCTACCAAATCGGATCAAAGCATACAGAGAAATTTACAGAAACAATGATATCTGACTCAGCAATCTATGGATAATATAAATGAAGCAAACTAACTTGTTCAAAAGGGTCTAAGGCATCCCAGTGCTATGTTAGATTTACATATATGATATATCCCACTGACCAAAAATAAAATTAAAAAAATAAAAAAATAAAAAAGGTAAAAGAATAACATATATACATCTGGTGTGTATTAAGTTACCACACCCAACTCGTGAGAACATTTATATAGCACACGTTTTCCGTTATTATTCTTTCAGAAAATGGGAGAAGAAAAGGGAAAGAAATGTGAAAGGAATGGGATGAAGGATGATAAGGAGGAAAAGAAAAAAATAAATAAAAGGAGGCAAAAAGGGGGATTGAAAATACCAAGTTAGGCAGGGGAAGCACAAATAAGAATCTTTTTTTTTTCTCTATCATTTTGATACAAAGACTGACTTACAAACACAGCAACAACATCAGAGAGAAGAGATTCTTCAAAAGAGGACTTTATTAGGTGGCCTCTACTGACAAAATTTCCAGTTCAGCCCACCAGAGTGGAGAAAGTCTTGGGGTGGCTTGGTCCGGTGAGATCACAATCACTTCCCTCAACTTGGAAGTGATTTCCTTCATTGTTGGTCTCTGTCTCGGGTCCGGTGGGATGCAATCTTGGATAACCTCGCAGATCACATCCAACTCATTGTTCTTGAAGGACTTGAGGCTCGGATCGATCATGTAACTGATGCTTCTTTTGTCATTTAAGTAATCAGCAGCCTGCGAAATCGTCAAATTACCATCATTTATAGTTATCTACTAACGGGGGTTCTGGTGTTGTCCATTATCTAATCTGAAACTTACCCAGTTCACAAGGGACCCTTGTTCTTCCGAGTACGAGAGCTTTCCTGAAATGATCTCCAGCAACAAGATTCCGAAGCAATATACGTTTGTTTCTGGATCGGCAGAGGGGGGCAATTCGGAGTTTTCTTTATCGTCATCGGTTTGATGCTTTGACTTGTGCTTTGTTGTGAAACCAATATCTGCGATCTGAGAGGGGGAGGTTGAAGGTTACAGATTGATTGCATTTTAGTTAAAGGAAAAGGAATCATATCAGTACGTGAAATGAAAGTTAGCTACCTTTGCTGCATAGTCATCTGTTAAATAGATGGAAGTTGAGTTCAGGTTAGGATGCGCTACAGGCGGATTTAGATCATGGTGCATATATTGGAGGCAGTAGGCTGTTCCCATTACAATCCTCATTCTTGCATTCCAATCAAGATGTTCAACTTCTTTAACTGCAAAACACATTAAATAACTTCATAAGCCTTTGAAAAGTCGCTTCTTATATTTTTTATTGCTAAATATTTGACTTGTACTAAGACATGAAAATCTGAAGTAGATTAGGAAATTACCATGCAGATGCTCAAACAAGGAACCATTTGGAGCATACTCAAATACCATCATCCTGACAAAGGGCTCATCCTCTTCGCAGTAGCCAATAAGATTGACAAAATTTTTGTGGTTCACCCTTGAGAGAGTATCAATCTACAGAAGATTCAAAACAACAATGTAGGAAACTTGACGAGAAAAATAGAAAGGACCCTCAAAAAGGGAAAAACAGAAGAACTGAAGAATATGATGAAGTTGGATTCTGGCTAACCTTTTTTCGATAAGCCATTTCTGCAACTTTTGTCCAGTCTTTGAAAGAAGATATCGTGGTTGATGCAACCGCAATCTCAACTCCACTGGAGAGTGTTCCCTTGTACACAGTGCAACCATCAACTGTGCTAATGATATTGCTAAAATCCTCACAGGCGCTTTCCAGCTCTGAACGGTTCAACTTTGGAACTCCTGGGTGTAACACAAATACATGATCCAATTCTTACCATTTCACAATTTCAACTAAAAGTACGAAATTAACCAAATGCATCTTGAAATAATATTTATAAGGCTGATATGGAGACTACGTTAACCACTAGTTCTACCATTTAATAGTCCAAACCAAGAAAAAATATGGTCTACTTCATTACACCACTACGCAAAAATCACTACGAATAACTACGAGTCTATGACCATTGAATCACAGATCAAATTGATCGTTTAACGATCAAGGTTTTGTCTACGATTCGTAAACTTTGTGGTTGAGCAGAATAGTTATTTCCATCGCATCTTGAAAGATTACCTGTTATAAATGCTTTCTGCAACTGTCCACTGAGTCCAGTTTTCCAAGGACCTATGGTTTTCACAGCTTTGCTCCGGCACATGCAGAACATTGCTGCAGCAACAATCAAGAAGACAGACACTCCTCCGGTGATACTTACATACTTCCACATGTTTCCAGAGGAACTGTCAGACGAAGGCTGCGTAATTGGCTTTACAGGAAACCCAGAAGGCTTCTCTTCTGGATTCAAGGGATGATGTTTTTGAAGAGAGGCGGATGAAGGAAGTGGGGAAGGTGCAGGAGAGTGTTTCCTCTTCCTAGCTGGCACAGCTCGGAAAGACCCACTACTTCGGGTCATTGGAAGAGCAACGACTTTTCCAGAAGATGATTCACCACTTGCTGGTGCAGCCGGGAGATTACTAGCTTGTTCTAGTAGTCTACGCCGTGAAAAACTGACAAAATTCTGACCACTCTCAACCACATGCGGCTCAGATGCACCTGATAGTTTAAGACATAATGTCAATTTCTTTTTTCCACTTTCAGAATCATAAGTTCTATATTCACACAGCAAAACTTTTCCACTCACTTGGAAGATTCTCACAGCAACTGTGTCCACCACTATGCAAAGGGTCTTTTTTGAAACTGAACCTTCAAAGAAAACCAAAATACTTCAACTAACACAACATGATAAAAGTATTGTACATGCAAAATCCGAATATAATAAGGATGAAATTAATTCCAAAGAGTGGCATTATGGAGTTATTAAAATAGCGCATCACAGCTCATCTAGTGGGGCTAATAAAGAAGTTCCCAAACTCAAATAATTTAAATCTCTATGCCTGATGCGGCTCATGAAATACATGAAGTATTAGATAGCTAACGCAGGTAAATCGCACCAAAACCATTAGAGGAAAGAAAAATAATCCACAATTAAACGTTTTTTTTATCCTTTTTTGTTATTCATTTTCATCTTTTCGTTATGCTACAACTTTTGGCACATATTCATCAACTTCACTTATCAAAACTGGAAATCAAACAAGTGCAGAATAACCAGAATTTTACCAGTGTCCAAACTTTCTGCTCACACCACCAATTCCAGGGAACCCTGTCGGTGCGAGGTAATTGTCAAACTGAAATTCAGAGAGCAAGTTGAGCCTACCAAGATCCATAGGAAGACTTCCTTCAAATCTATTGTCACAAAGCAACCTAGGATGCAAAACAAATTCAGTCTGCTTACCTATAAGTCCAACAAAAAGATTGAAGGATTCAATGTAAAATAGCTCACTCACAAATATTTCAGTGATTGCATACTGCCTATTTCAGCCGGAATTGTTCCACTCAAGTTATTGTCTCTCAAATCCAGCAGCTCCAGCTCTCTTAGCTCTCCAATATCTTTAGGAATTGCACCAGAAAAGTGGTTCTTGTAAAGTACCCTTTAATGCAAACAAAGGAAGAAAGATGTTGAAATTTCCAGTAAGGATCAGAATTATATATATATATATATAACACTATTGCCAAATAACAAGAAATCTAACTCGTCATCCATTATCTATCAGAACCATGGAAGATAAACTTACAACATTACACCCATATATGCTGAGAGTTTCAAATAAACTGCAAAATTGCAATGCATGAACTACATGAATCAGAAGTAAAGAGGGGTAAATTTTCATGCATCAGCTGAAGTACTGACAGTAACTACGCTTTAGATTGGTGGGAAGGCCAATTCTGAAGAGAATGATAATAGTCCAGAGAACCCGTTTCAAGATATCTTTAACCTGTGGGATCTATTTCTGGACTTCTGTAGAGTAAATGGTCATACTAAAAATATCTAAAAATGATTATGCGCTTCTCAATCTTTAGAGCTTTTCATTATTACTACTATTATATTTTCTTTTGCATTCCACTAGTAAGATAAATCCTACATGAGCTACCAATCAAACCCCATTTCCCAGAATTTTAGTTTCTGAAACTACATTTGATCCACAACATAAACGGAGACCTCAATCAATAATAACAAATATCAGACTTTTTAGCTATAAATAATGTAATGGCATAGTTTAAATCCTTACAGAGCTCTTAAGTGAGGAAGTTTCCCGAGCTCAGGTGCCAATGTTCCTTGCAAAGAAAGACCACTCATATTCCTGCAATATCAGTGAGCACAACATTAAAAACCACAAATCTACTATTATAAGAAAACGTCTTAACAAACACAAAGAAGAAACATAAGAGGGTCATACAGCATTTGAACTTTGCCCTCTTGACAATTAACACCCCACCACAAGCAAGGACTTTCATCATTATGATTCCAACTCTCCAAAGCACCAAAAGGATCAGAATTGATCCTCACCCGGAATGCCAACAAAAGGATTCCTATATTTTCAATAAATAATTTCAAAAACAATACACAAACAATTCTAAATTTCTATTCAACAAGATTATAATTAAAAAAACAAAAACAAAAACAAAAAAAGAAACAAAACAGAACAAAACAAAACTTGCCTTCATCATTGAGCGACCAACAAACTGGAGTTCCCGAGAAAAGAATCAAAGCCAAGAAAAACGAAAACCCAAATCCAAATGGGTCCCATCTATCCCCCATTGCTCGATGAAAGCCACGACTCTACACAACTTGCTATACAAATCCGCCAGGTTTCTTCCTTTTTCTTCCTTTTTTTTTAATTTTTCTCCAAACAAAACCAATGACGAACCAAAAAAAAAAGGGAAACAAAAAAATCTACCTAAACAAAAAAACTGTAAATTACAAACGAATATCAGGGTCCCTCATAATTTACGAATTTTTATTCGGCTTTCACGAGACCCTTTTCATCGACAAGCGCATGAAAAATCCCCGCTTCAGTAATCTTCGGAGGGCGAATGCTGAAAATTGCTCAACGACATAAAACACGACAAAAAGTCAGCAATAGTCAAATAGTGAATTCATTATCATATAAAAAAGAGAAGGAAAAAAAAAAGCAGCTTTAAACGAGAATGTAGGGAATACCCTCTTCATCAAGCAATCTCAGAAAGAAGAAAAAAAGTGATACAAAGCTAGACAGCTCAGAACAGAGAGAGAGAGAGAGAGAGAGAGAGTGGGGAAATTTACCATGCAGAAGAGGCCAAAAGGGTGACGAAGAATAAATCCTTTTCTTCTTTCTTTCTTGAGGTAGATGGGAAATTAAAAACAACAACAACAACAACAATAATAATAATAATAATAATAATAATAATAACAAATGTTGAAAAAAATGGGAAAATTTACATAAATATTTGCAGAAGAAAACAAATGAATGAATATTGAAAGTTTTCTGGGGGTATAGGTGGTGGAGATTGAGACTCAAAAGGCGGCAAAGAAAAAACTTGTAATAACATGAAATTTTCAGCAATAAATTCACAATCTTTTTTTTATAAGATTTTTTTTTTCAATTACTGCCTTTTTTTTTCAAAATGATCTTTAGAGGACCCTCTCTCCGACCATGTTTTGGGGTCTCTCTCTCGGGAAAACTCTGTTTTTTTTTTTTTTTGCTTTGCTTTCCTGAATTTCGCTCTCTCACTCTCTCTAATCCCAACCAGCCAAAGCCACCCCCTACAACCTGTGTTTCTGTTTTTCCTTTTTTTTTTCTTTTTCTTTTTTTTTTTTTGGGTTTGGCAAAGGGACTGATGGGTCCCTTTCAGTTATTCCCCGTTCTCTGATTGGCTCCGAACACTGATAAGAGTAAGAAGATGGGACCCACTTGATCGGCGGGAAAGGCCTAAAACCGTCATTTGGCGGCGAAAGACATTTTTTGTTAGGAACATACATTGAGGGTTTTTTTTTTTTTTTTTTTTTTTTTGTGTGGTGGAAGAGGGTCCCACTTCCGATGTAATCGGACGCGTTTTGCCTTCTTCAATTCTGCAGTTGACCACGCCCACCCATTTTCTCTCTTAATTGCGTGCTTGCCTCTCTACCTCTCCCTACACTGTTTTTTCTTTTCTTTTTTCTTTTGTGGGTCCAATATTCCAATCATCTTATAATGCTTTGGATGATATTATATAGGCTGCGTTTGGTATTATTTTTTATTCTTAAAATTAGTTTTTATTTGTAGTAAAAGTTAATTTTATGTTTGATAAATTTCTTTAAAAATATTTATTAAAAAATTTACAGTCAAAATTAGAAGCGGCTTAAACACCATTTTAATTTTTAAATTATGCATGAATTATTATAGTACAATTAATAAAATTTTTATAATACTCATAATATCTCTAATAAAATTTAAAATTTACAGCATTCTTAATCTAAAATTAAGACTCGTAATATAATATAATATAATAATATAATAAAATAATATAATATAATATAATGTAATAGTAATATTATAACAACTAATATCATAATTATATTAATAACTCTGATGTTATTATTTTATCATATAAGATGATATTAT